TCTGCAAGAAATTTTGAGGCGATTCTATGCCGATTTCCCGACCCACTCCGAGGAGAGCAAGTACAACTACGTCGTGTCCTCCTCCATGAAACCAACACAGGTGACGTGCTGAATATCTTCGTCCTTCCCCCTCCTTCTCCTCTGTCTCTGTCCCCTTCCCCGCTACCTCCCTCTAGCCTTTCGCAAGTCAAGCTACCCTTCCAAACTTCTCCTTTTTCCATCCCCCTGACCTGCGTTTGGTAGGTGGAATGCGCGCGCGGGAGTCTCAATCAGGTGCCTCCGCATGCCACTTTCAGCGGTGACATCCGTTCGGTCCCTTTCTATGAGATAAAGGATGTAAAGGCCAAGGTGGAAAGGTACGGGCGGAGGGTACTGTGGGTAGAGGCATGAAAAGGGGCAAGTAAAAATTCATGAGGAGAAGCTGGGTTGACCGGGAGGTAGTTGAATGCCGGGGGCCTAAGCATGCGATGTAAGATCTCTCCTCGCGCTACTTCCTCCCCATTGCTCTTTCCCTTGTCCTCCACCCCCGCCTCGGCCTGCCACTCACCCATGATCCTTTCTCTGCTTCCTTATATCAGCTACGTCACCGATCTGAACCAGAACATCACCAGCCTTCCCTCCCTTGGCCCTTTTTCTTCCTACGTGGTTTCCTCGGAAGACCCGCCCATTCGAGGCAAGCTAGAATTGGAATGGATCGGAGAGGGAGAAAACGGGATTGCGGTCAAGCTGGGAACCGTGGGCAATATTGCCTTGACGGAAGCGACCAAGGAAGTGCTGGGCTCCGTGACCCCGTACTCCATTACAGGCTCGCTCCCATTGGTTCGGTACTTGCAAGATAACGACTTCGACGTCCAATTAGTGGGCTATGGAAAAAGCGCCAAATACCACGCCGAAAACGAGGCAGCGGATTTGAAGGACTTCCGTCAGGCGCTGCGAATACTGGCAAGGGTGGTGGCGCGCTTGGAGAAAGAGTGAATGGGCAGGGAAAAAGGGGAGGTGTCAGTAGCGTTCTTGCGAGAAGACAGACAATTAAAGATTCAGGGGTTATTGCAAGCGGCTGTTACAACAAACTAAAAGCTCATGTCATAAAGTCTTTCTAGGAAATAGGCGAAAGGCAAGGATCGCGATCGTTCGTATGTTTCACGCGATTGAAGGCAGGCTCGATGGTTGCCTCCATCCCATGCATCTCTGTAGCTAAGGACGGTGACACAATGAAGTGTACCGGCGTGCGACATCATCAAATGGAAAAGAAAAATTTACGACCCGATGGTATGAAAACTTATCGTCGAGTCACGCATATGAGGAACTAAACTGAATCTAGATTGACGGGCTGTCCGGCTATCTTTCAAGCGTTGAGATAAAAGCGACCCGGAGGAGAGAGGTTGCGAGGTGGCGTCCCATGCTTCGACAGACGTGCGTCCTCAACAATTGTACCCCTCACAAATATAGCTGGCCTTTTTACGTGTTACACAATTCATCAAGATTGAAGGTAGTAGTCATGATTTCTGAACTTCATATCGACATCTCAACCGTCAGGAACGACCAGACAGAGGGGCAGGCAGGATTATGCTCTTGTACCTAATGGGCCGTGACGTTCAAGTTCTTTATTTGTGTGCATTCACCTGCTTATGAGCCTTGCACGCGATCCAACAGAAGCTCCTTCCACAGGCGCTTATATTCACAAAAAAATCGTGATTTTTGCACATTGCATGCCAAATTCGAGCCCCTAACCTCCCCACTGTGAAAAGCATTACTTGACACTGTGCTTTTACTAAGGAAAGAGTTTTGGGAGGGCTATATTGTTCTACGAGCGCAAGCGAGGCGCTTACATTCCAGCCACTTTTACATGTGCTAACTACTTTGCAATTTGCAATCATTGCTTCTTAAATTTACACGCAAGTCACACATTCAAGGATCGAGCTCTCCGATACCATCGTATGGGTCGCCTGTGGTAAGTTGGACGAAAATCGAGCCAGGCTTCTTTTTGTCACAATTGAGTCATTGTTACTCTCTCCATCAATTAGGAAGTGCGTAATTTTGATAGCGTGCCTCCGTATCACCGCAGTTTCTAGACTCTCTGCCAATTTTCCGACCATTGAGGATTCAGTCGAGCAATCAATAGTGAGTCATGTACGTCAAGCATTGGGCGTCACCAACGAGACTAATCCTACTGATCCAAGCATGCTTCGTGGTACTACTGAGAATATCAGAAAACGACATTTGGGTGGCCGTAGTCCGTGGCGCATTTTCCCATTTCTAGTACTTCCGACCTTTATGCGTGGAGATTCCGGCAATGGCGCTTCACAACCTCGCTTTCCTGCAGCGCAAGGAACTAAAGAGACCCAAATTGGGTGCGCTTGGAGTGCTACTGTAACTGCTGCCACATACAACTTGGCTTTTCCTGATTTAAACTGTGTCTATCAGGTTCTCTTGTACTGGGGCATAACAGAAAAGACAACCTTACGGATTGACGGTCAATTTCCACACGTCCGTTATTTTTCGTACCAAAGTTACGATCTAGTCAGTGGCGAGCCAATTGCCTCATTGATTGATTATGAAATCGAACCTTCGAAGGGGGTAAATCCTTTCCATGAAAGCCCTCAAAATAGCAGAGTATGGGGAACAGAACTGGAACAAGGGTTTGAAAGCAAGCGTCGCAATATCTGGAACCGCTATTCAAGTGAGGAAAATGGAGGGTATCAAGATCGTAGTCACAATCAGGGTAAGGAAATGAGGTACATGGGACGTCGCGTCGAAAGCAGCTTGCTGGACAGTGAGACTAACAATGCGTATACTGATGCTTGGTCGCCTAACGAGCCACCTGACAAGCATACCTCCAATGCTGGGCATTTTGGGTCCGATTCTGGGGAGGAAATTTTTGGCAGCTATCAAGTACACATTACAGATACGGGTCTCCATGGATTTCCTAATGAATTGGCAACAAGCAGCAGCAGCGCTGGTCGTTTTCGCTATCAACAGTGTGGGGGCAAAGGTTGTCTCGCCTTGGTGATCCTGCGTCTCTACACTGCCGAACCAGGTGAAGATGCCTTTCGTCATCATCATCCTAGGCGATACAGCGCTAAATCTAATGATCATAGTCGACTGTGGGGCTATGTTCCCCCACCGAAGGTCAGCGTGCGGTACGGAGAACGAATAAACGAGTGGACAGGTTGGTCTGTACCAGCGCGGTACAAAGAACTTGACCAGTGTCAGGAAGATAGATCCACTGTAGTGAGATCATTCTTGGACTGGAAAATACCTCAACTAAAGCGTGATTGGGAGGGACAATCTTCTCTAGACAACGTGGACGACAACTTTATAGTTTACACCCCCAGCACCTCAAGTCGCGCACTTTTTTCCAATGCTGACGCATCCTACCTCTTTGCGACGGCCAAGAACAATCGCTCTGTTTCCATTGGCGATCAAAGCAGCGGTCCGCAAAGGAAAGAGCTAGTGACGCGTATTACAGGCCATTTACCAACCGTCCCGCATGGCTTCATGGAAACTAATTATGATGATGACATGCCTAGGAATCATGAAAACTATCACCGATCGTATGAAAAAGAGCACACTTACCGTGCTATTGCCGACATTGATAGCTATGAAGCTCGCTATGTGTCACTGAGTACCATAGCCTTAAAGGGCGCCGGTCCTGTTGTTGACACATTAATGGACACGGTCATTGAGCAAAAGTATCGGAAGCAAGAAGGTTGGGAGCAGACTCGTTACTTCTCAGTGGTAGCTGCTCCTGGAACAGGACTTTTATCTCGTTGTCCTCCACGAGTCTATCAACAAGACCGTGACCTGTTCCTAAATACAGTTCCACCGGGACAAAGCGAACCGCCTGCGCACATGGCTTTTCTATACCGGCAGATCCTCTCCCAATGGCAGACAAGAGGCCGCGTTGACAAATCCATTGCGCGTGCAAAGCACGAGTGTTTAGGTCGCAATGATGGAGAACACGCGTGTAAACTTCGATCCTTTTTTATAAACATGATGGGATCTCGCTATCCGAGCATTAAGTACTTTTATTGCTGGGAAAATGTTACGCGTGGGTGTAGCTGTGAGGATTCTCAGGGCATACTAGTCACCTGGGAAGATATAGGAGAAGGCGATCAACAGTGGAGAGATTGGGCGCTCCCAGATTACTTCCATCACAGTCACCAAAGCACTTGGGGGGAGGACGACAACGCCGGCGTGAATGCGGATTTAATGCAATCCCACAATATTCAAGATAGAAACAAAAGAAGAGGTACAATTCCGGCTGTCACAAGCGTTTCCACACCGCTAAATGTTTCCAATGCTGAAAATGTAACAAGAACTGCCTCTTCTACGTCGACTAAACTTCTGCTCAACGCATCTGCATTGTTTGTCCGTGCGTCGCCGTACTCTTGGAACCAGACTCAAGCATACTACTACTATATGCAGCAAACACAGGAGAATCGCCCTCTCGTAAAAACCCAAAATCGTGACAATGAAACCTTCATGTCCTACCAGGACTCTATGGCTCCAGAACGATATAGTTTAGCGACAGAAAGGAACAGTAGCATTAGGAATAACGAGCAATAACGTTGAAGAAAAGGACAACTTCAACATTGTAATCCAGCGTATACATACGATATAGTTTAGCGACAGAAAGGAACAGTAGCATTAGGAATAACGAGCAATAACGTTGAAGAAAAGGACAACTTCAACATTGCAATCCAGCGTATACATTCGGGGGACGACAGAGATGATGAAAACCGCACAAGCAAATTATCTTCAGTAATCTTATGTCATAAACAAGACTTCAAGGCAGTATCATAAGCAATACGATTTCAAAGGCATACGGGGATTATTGAATGAAAATGGAAAACAAAAACCGCATCAACACTTTATGCGTCAGGCCTTGTTAAGATGTTATGTTATTTTAGCGCGCCATACAACACCCCACGCGCTCTAGTGCGATTCACTCGAATTTATGTTCATTGATTCACAACTTTTTACATGCTGCTTAAGGTCGGGAATCGTTTTTTGCACAGCACCGCACGCATGACATCGTAGTGATAATTTTAATAAGGCTTCGGCATCCTCGTGTCTTACGGTTACCTTACCGTGGATTTGCAAGGCAGTTTCTACTTGCAACAGGTCCAGGAAAAAAGGTGTGGTAAAGCTGTTCCAGTGTCTTTTTGTTTTAAGTGCAGGTGAATCGAAGTCTTGTGAGACAATGTGGATATGTAGAGGGCGAAGGGACGGCAAACTATGGTATCCCATACGGAGACGCAGTCCATTCGTGTCCTTTTCCAACTTGGTAGCGATACATCGGGCCGCAGAATGCAGCCTACTTATTTGCTTGTTGTGTTTGTCATGGCTGAGTTCCGTGACAGAATTAATGGTCAAGAATTCGGGTTTGGGAATCAAGAGCAGGTGGACCTTTGCTTTAGGGTAGCCGTCATAAATAGCCATCCACTCCGAAGTCTCATAGAAGATAAAGTGCCTGAGTTCTGGGGTGTGATCCAGGTATCGTATTAGAGCACCATGCCAGCCACCACCCTGGAGTGGCTGGCCAGGATGCTGGTAGACAGGGATATGTGGTGACTCGACGTGATCCTCCTCTCGCTTATCCAACGAAGGTGGCGCTGTGGTGCTGTTGACCTCAGTCTTACTATCCATCTTCTGCGGAAGTACCTGCCGAAGTGTCACTTTTCCAACTAGTTGCTCTAAAAATACTCTGATCAAGGTTTCATAGGTGCATTGTAAAGAATTTGACCAACCATCAGGCAAGACAGATGCAAGTGCCTGACACGGAGGCATCGCTAAAAGTACGTACTCGACACCTTGCTGTACGCACAAAGCGCTTGACTTTGTCAATTTAATTGGATAGACAAGGCCTGGTTCAGCCTTGTGAAAAAGCAATCTCGCCGTATTTGTTAGCTGCGGTCCTGCGTTTTTGAAAGTTTCCATGGCCACGGGATGATCTGTAGGAAGAAATGAACGGGAACATGGCACGGCAATAACCTGAGGATACCCTGAGCCCCTTGTCTCCTCTGTCAGTGCGCCAGTTTCCCCTTGATGCAAACGTTGACGCGGCTTTGTGATTGTGCATGTCATGGCTCTGGTAACATACCCCGCCCGAGCTGCTAATTTTGCCGCGTCTCCATCCGGGGCCTCTTTAACCACCACGAGTTCCAAAACGAGTTGTGAAGGTTTTATTACGCCGGCACTTTCATTCAACCTTACAATGAACTTTGAATCCAAAAAATTTGCCAAGGAGGTAGTAAGGATTTGGAGGCTTGCATTTACTCTCTCGGCAGGCCCGAAGTTTGGGATTGCGAGTGTCACTACCGCAGGCTCACGATCGTTCGCAGCGGCACCGTTAGTGAGTGCACAACTTCTTTTGGCTGTGGCCCTATCTCCTACGCTCGACTGTACATCTTTATCTGTCGCAGGTTTCATGCTTGTGTACACTGGAGAACTTCACCTCCCGGCCTTCCAAAACTCTGTCCTGTCCCGTCTATGGAAGACTATCGATGAGGAAAAAAAATGACACACAGCATCAGGTCCAAGAAATCCTTTCGCACAACCCAAATCGAAGGACTTGTGCTTAGGCGCCCTGTCTACTACGGGCAACGACATAGTTCCAAGTCCTTCTGGCTTGTGGACGGCCAAAGCCGTTAAGGTCCGTTACGTGTCGGGCATGAGACGCCTCGGGCGTCGAATTCTAGGGCTGGCACGCGATCGCAATGCGAATGATCAGGGTATATGGCGTATATGTGTTGATAAGTGATGCAAGTTTAGTGCTAGACATCGCCATATAGTGGTATGTAAAGTCACCTCACTAACTGTGACAATGATATCCTCATTTCCTTCCTCGTCAGCGGCTGTGACCAGGAATTGAATTGGACGTCTATGCCACACAAAACTAGTAGAAGTGGCTCGGTCAAAACTAAGCCAACTACCTCAATTCAAGATAGAAAAGATTGTACATCGATAGCAGCCGCCAAAAGGGACGTCAATGTGTCTGGGGGCGTAAGGGAGACTAAGGCACATGCTCCTCCCTCTCTTCCCGAGGATACTCTCCTACCTCCTACCGCTGCGCCATCTGCGCCACCGGTACCAGACAAGGCGGAAAGCAGAGCATTCAATCCTCAAAAGGAAAACAATCCTAATCGGAAACATGGTACGGGGTCTGTCACAGCTTCCGCGATGAAGAAGAAAAACGCCAGAAGCGACCTTTCCGTCAAAGTGTCGGGGTTCTCTGCGCCCATCCTTGATTGGCTTAGCACAGGCTTCTTGCTCCAGGCAGCTGGGGCATCAACTGTCCTCAATAAATTTTTGACGGATTTATCGAAAGAGTACTTTGGCCAGATACTCTTGCAGGTTCAACGTCAAGATGCCAAAGGGTTGCGGGAGGTGCTTATGCAGCACGCACAAGAGCCACGTGCAACAGCCCTTGGCGTCGGTATGTGTGCAACAGAGAACAACAGCGGCATTAAAAGCAAGCTCGTTAAGAGTAAGGACAAGATCACTAAGAGGAACGGGAACGAGACCGAGCAGGTGGGGCTGACAGGGCCGAGCTCAGTCCTGGGTCCTGTCGCTCTGTCCTGGGAGAACACCGCGCTCAGCCGCTTAAAACACCCGGTCAAAGGGGCTTGGGAAGCCGCGAAAGTCTACGGCCCTCCTTTAGGACCTACCCCCCTGGCCCTTTCGGGGCAGGCGACCCCTGAAACGAGCGATCCCGACCTGAAGCTCGCCGTCCTCACCAAGTACAAGGCCTTTTCTCCCGTGCTTGACCCCTCCCTCACCGCCACGGCGGCGGCAACAGCGCAGGAGTGGGTGGAGTCTACCACGTGGATGAAGAAAGATGGAGGAGGAAGGTTCGACAAAGCCTTGGACAACCTCTCGGCGCTGCTGAGCGGCATGGCAGCAGTCTACCCGTCTGTGCGTGCTACCCTCCCCACCGCCCTCGAGGGTTTGCAAAAGGTTCAGGAGGTACGAAACAGCTTAAGAAGTGGGGAGGAAGGGAAAGGGATGGGAAAAGAAGAGGTGGAAGGGCTGATCCGGTGGCGGGTGCGCAGATTACTGTGCCAAGCATGGGCCGGTCGAAAAGCGAAGGAGAAGGGAGAGGTTCTGGCTGCAGAGAATGCTCTGACAGCCTTACAGACAGCCATGGACGCCGAGGATGTCCAGGTCGGCGATTTTGTCCGGGCGTGTAGGAAGGAAGAAGAAACGAAGATCGAGACCGCCGATACAAAGGGACAGGGGGGAAATGACAGCGAAGGGGTGGTGGATGGGAGAGGCGAACTCTCTGAGAGGGCTGTGCGCAATAAAGAGGAGGAGGTGGAAGAGAGGACCAGCATGAGTGCAGCGGAAAGCATGTCGGAGCAGCGCGCCTGGGAGGCTCACCTCAAGCATCACTCAGGCCTCTCTCTGGCCGTCGCCTCGCGCATTGCCGCCTTTCGACAGTGGTTGCAGGATGGCAAGGCCCAAGACGTGATCCGAGACGTCCTCCTTTTGCTTCGACAGCACCAACACAAGGAGACTTGCCTCCTTCCCGTCGATGTGCACGTGTTGCAGGAGAACCTAGGCAAGGCGGCCTTGGTGGTGGGAAATCCGACCCTGGCCCTGTCGGCGCTCGACAAGGCGGGGAAGGTGGGCGTCTGTACTGAAGGGGACAACCCTACCCTGCCTCCTTGCGTGGAGTATTGTCCCCTGGCGCTGCGTTTGAAAGCCCTCGCATTGGAAGTCAAAGGAGAGGAGGAGGCGACCAAGCGGGAAGGGAGCGCGGCGGAGAAGACAGAAGACGAGCCGCACGCGACCGAGTTGGCACTGGACGTATTGGGGGACCTGAGGAAGGAGGATATAGAGAGAAACGACAGTGTGAGGCGTGCGAGTTACTTGACCTCGGCGGCGGTGCATACGTACCACCGGCTCAAACGCTTGAGCAATGGCGAAGGTGGCCAGGGAGAAGCTCCGGAGAAGACACGAGTTGTAGTGGAGCGAGGGCTTGGCCTCTTGGAGCAGGCGCGGGGCATGTTTGACGCGGACAGGAATGAGGAAGGGACAGAGGGTGGTCGATGGGTGAGCCTCGTCGATCCGAAATGGGTGTCCCTGTCCCAAGACGGAGACGCCATGCTCTGGATCCAAACCAACCGGCTGTTGGCCATCTTTTATGCGGAACCCTGCCTCGCTCCCTCCCTCCCCCATCACCATGACCTCTCCATCGCCGCCTACCAAGCTGCCCTCCTCCCTGCCACCCGCCTCTTAGATGGGACCCTGGAGGCCCATTCCATGGTTCATACGCTTCGATTTGAACTCGCGAGAGCCTACGCGCGGCGCGGTAAGAACGAGCAGGACGAAGCAACCTGCCTTGCCCTCTTGAGAGAGGCGGAAGCTGCTTTGCTGCCCTCGCAGAGGGAGGAGATGGGGCGGCTTTTGCATTACACCGGGCGACTATTGGAGGAAAAGGGTCGCAAAAAAGTGGAGGATGAGAATGAAGGCGGGGGCGAAAAGGAATTGCGGGAGGCAATAGAATTGTTTGGACGGGCTGTGGAGGCTTTCGAGGGTGTACGGGCGAAGCCAAAGGGAGAGGAGGAGCGACTCAATTACATGATTGGATTGAACAAAAGCATGGCCGGCATCTATGTCACATTGATGAAAAGCATGGACAAAGGGTGTGAAGGCAGGTCCGACGGAACAGAAGCAGGGAAAGAAGGAGGGAAGGACAAAAACGGGCAGCAACAGCTGTCCGGGAAGCCCTCTTTATTCCCGTCCTCGCCGTCTCTGTCGCCTCCCAAACAGGCGATTTGGAACGCAGATTTGGAGAAAGCCATCAACAGGTACACAAATGCTTACACTCTTTTGAGTGCAGTGGCGGGAGGAGGCGGGAAAGCCTCCTTCGAAGCGGGCCAAGTAGCTTTTGCCATCGGAGACTTGTACCTGCAACGTCGGAAGGAAAAACGGGCGCGGAATGTTGAAAATGCGATCGCTTGGTTTGAAAAAGCTGAGCGGGACATCCGCCGAAGTGCTCCAGATCGGAAAGATGCGAGTGGGCGGTACTTACCGTTGTACACACAATTATACGGGAAGCTGGCTGGCTTGTGGCACGAGCGCGCGGGGTTGCGAAAAAAGGAGGGAGGAGGGAGCAGTGGAAAAGTGAAGGAAGATTTGAGAAAAGGGGAGGCGTACGGTGTACTGTTTACGAATGCAAGAAGAAATTACGAATTGCGGGCGGACGTGTTGGCGGGCAGGATGGCAGATGGACTGAGAGTAGAGGAAGAGGGGAAGGATAGGGGAAAAGAGGAGCGTTGACGGGCAACATCACAGAAAGAATGATGTTTTGGTGCTCTGGCAATGGTTCCGCGACTGATGCGAGGAAAGGAAAGCGGATTAGAATTAGGCACACTTCATTACAAAAAAAACTTTGAAAATAAAGGGAAACCGCCATGCAACGTAGGACTGCGATAACCATTGTCAGAAAGGAAATGTGGAGAAGAGAGCTACCGGAAATCTCACGTTGCAAGATCGAAGTGGTTTATTGTCAAATGACCGTGGACGAAGCAAGGGGCAACCCAGCATGTTTTTGTACCAGAAGACAGACAAAATTAGATGGGTAGGAAGATGTTTACACACAAAGAGCACATGAGGCACCCTGGGAGTTTCCGTGGATAGGGAGGCATCTCTGGCTCCCAGGGGTAGGACTCTTCCACTTCGACGCCTTCTTTTTCACGACTTGTTTCACATATGCTGTCACGCCCCCCCTTCTTCTCATCATTTCTGTCCCTCCAAGCGTCACATCTATGTCTCCCTGCGCCCTTCCAT